CCTCCCGCTCCGGTGCCCGTGCAGGAGGTGGTGGGGCTGCAAGGTGGACACCCTCCTTGCCCGGTCCCCTGGCCCCCAGGTACTCACTTGGCAATGGCCAGGAAGGCCAACTCCACGTTCATGCCCGTCTTGGCGCTCGTCTCCATGAAAGGCACCCCGTACTCCTGCAAGGGCAGCACGGCCCCGTCAGCAGCCAGCCCCAAAATGCCCTCCTGCCCCTCCAAATCCTCCCTGTCGCCTGGTTGAGGCTTGGGGACAAGGTGCTGCCGTCCCCTCCCTGCCTTGCCCCAGGTTGTGTGTGCAAGCGGCTGCGGCACTGCCCGTGCCAGGGCCAGGCGGGTCTGGGCACCCACCAGAGGGGATGGCACGGCTGTGTGGGGGCCCTGAGCAATGTACAATTGTCGGGGGGGCTGCAGCCGGGTTAGACCCTGGCATGGCTCACCCTGGCCAGCGATGCTCCATCCTCCGTCCTCACAGCCCTCTCGCTGCTAGCCAGCTGGCACCCTGGGGGCAGCCGGCACGCGGGCAGCGTGGGGTGTGCAGGGGGCTGCCAGGAGCTGGGGGCGTCAGGGACCCGGGAACATCCAGTGCCTAGAGGAGAATCTGGGACCTGCTGAGAATCTGGGACCTGGTGGCATCGAGAATGTGGGGGGTATCTGGGACCTGGGGACACTGGGTAGCTGGGGCAGCATCCAGTACCGGGGGTCATCCTGGACCCAGGGGGCTTCTGGTACCCTGCTGGGCATCGAGTACCCAGCATCAATCCAGGATTCAGGGGGCATCCAGTCCCAGGGGAAAATCCGGTACCCAGTCAGGCATTGGGCACACGGCAGCATCTGGGTGGGCATGTGGGACCTGGGTGGGCATCTGGGACTTGGGGCTACCTGGGATCTGGGGTTGTATCCAGGACCCGGGTGAGCACCCCTTAGCCAGCAGCATCCCTTACTGGGAGCATCCTGTACTGGCAGCCTCAGCCTCGTGCTGCCCTGCATTGGCCACCGGGAACACTGGCCCCTCAGTCCGCCCTCAAACGCCCCAAACCTTTGGGGTCACTCTGGGCTTGGCTGAGCCCAGAAAGCAGCAGAGCCTGGCAGTGGGTGCAGGCAGGGTGCACCCAGAGAGCAGGCAGAGTGCCCACTGAGCCCCATCCCTCCACAGCCACGGGGACGGCAAGGGCAGGGCAGGGCTGGGGCGGCACGGCACGGCAAACCGTGGGGTGAAGGGGGACCCTGCACACACCTTATTGCCCAGCAGCATGATGACCACGTCCTTCTGGGCATACTCGTGGATCTCCGTCAGCCAGGCCTGTGGGGCAGCGGGGCTGTGTTGGGGTGGGTGGTACCCCCGTCCCTTCCCTCTCAGCCCTCACCCTCCCCATGAGGATGGGGAAAGCAATCTTTTTTTGGCATGGGAACCATTCCAGCATCACAGCCAAACAGTCCTGAAAACGCCTCGTCTCCTGGCTACGGCCCAAGCCTA